AGTGAGGCAGAGTTTCCTACGAAACTACTCATCCTTCCAATTGATCTTCACATATCTCTCAGAGCTTTGAAACAGCTTTCTAAACCTGACCAAGTTTGAACTAGTACTCAAGGCTTATAAGTCATTTGACAAATAGTTTCCAAATAAAAGATAAAGTATGAAAATAAAGATTGAAACTTAGAAGTTACTGAAATATAGAGAGCAGAATAAACATATTTATCTAAATAAATATCCATTAATTTACCTTGACTCATTATGCTATAAATATAATGACATATCATCATGTGGATTAAGATGAACATTTCTACCAGCTCGATACCAATACTACCTTTACTGTTAGATTGCGGATTCAGTTGTTGAGAGCCCACAATATAATTGTTTACATTTTCGTAAATGTCATAGTTATAGTTATATTCTTTAATATTGAAAATATGGCCAGGTAGCGCCGTGGCTTCAAGCCGTTAACTGCTCCCAGCACTTTGGGAGTTTTCCTGAGACCATTGGGTGGTTTTTGTTTTGTGGGGCGGATCACGGTCATTGTGATTTCGAGACATGCCTGGCTATACATTGTTGGTGAAACCTTCCCGTGCATCCTACTAATTTAAAAGCAAAAAATCGTACCGTGTGAGGTGGCGGTGGGTGCTCTGTAGATCGCCCAAAGCCTATCTTCCGGTAGGTGGGCCTGAGTGCAGGAAAGATATGTGGCGTATAAATCCCTGTGGAGGTGTTAGCTTGCAGTGAGCGAGTCGCACCACTGCACTCCAGCCTGGTTGACAGAGCCAGACTCCTCCTCAAAAAAAAAAAAAAAAAAAAAAAAAAATTTTGAAATATTTGACAGGAAGAAAAATATGGACTAGCATATATTTGGTAAGAACAGATTATAAACTTTTTTTGTTTAAAATACATTGTTGATATTCACAGGCATTTTTCCAATGTTTTTTATCTCAATACTCTGGGACATGTTGTTGTGCTTTGTTTTCCTTTTTTAAAATCTGTGCTGCTCATTGTAGTGGTGGCTGAGTGGACTGGCTCTAAGACCACGAAATATTTGCAAGTAGAGGAAAAGTTACTTGAAACCATAACCAATTGGATTTAAAGGACAATATGATTTCTAAAATATTTTACTGTCTTTTATCATGCCAGCTGGAAACCATCATTCTCAGCAACTATCGGCAAGAACAGAAAACCAACACCAGCGTGTTCTCTACTCATAGGTGGGAACTGAAATAATGAGATCATTTGGACTCGGGAAAGGAAATATCACACACCGGGCTATTATGGGAGGGGAGGAGGGAGGGATAGCATTGGGAGTTATACGCTGATGTAAATGAACGAAGTTGATGGGTGGGCAGGCACAGCCCAACATGGCACAAGTATACATATGTAACAAACCTGCACGTTATGCACATGTACCCTAGAACTTAAAGTATAATTAAAAAAAAAAAAAGAGTTGACTGCTTAAATGAATCGATAAGGAGAAACAAGTAATAATTCAATATTTTTCAAATATTTGTGACAATTTGGCATATATTAGTCAAATATTTATCAAAATACATTAGAAGGATGATAGATTAGATGCTACAATAGGCAACATCTAGAAATAATGAAGCAATATAGCATGAATGTATCAATAATAGCACTCTTCAGTGACCTCTTCTTGTGTCATCAGAACATCTTAGAGTTATACAGGAATGAATAGAAATTAATGAATAGAATGAATAGACATTAAGAGAGATTGGGAGTCTTCAATATTTTCATATTAACACTTACATATATTGTGAAACAGGAACTGTGGTAGGTGGTGCATTCTATATCTTAACTCATGTATAACCAATTTTAGTCATATGCAAAGCCCTATAAATGCAGGCCCTATTTTTTTCCACCTTCCCATAACTGAGGAATAAAACATTAGAAGAAATAAAGACTTTTTCATGATTTTCTATTTATTTAGCCACGGAAGCAGGACAAGTTGAAAATGATCTGATATCACAGCCTTAGTTCTTAAGTTTTGCTTTGGTAATGACTTCATTTCTTTAGACATTTATTGTATAGACTCAGAAGTATTTACACATTGAGACTTTTCATGTAAAAGATTATATTGTAGAATATATGGAAAATAACTAGAAGTAGTTCTTTTTAGTTCTTCATATATTCACATACTTGGAAAATATGGGAAGTACTAGAATATATCATTTAATTTCATTTTCATTGAAATCTATGGTAGTATACACATTTTTTAGTGAGAAGATTGAGATACAAAGTGTTTAGCTTCTTTTCTAGAGCTCCTCTTTCATGTAGGGTTGCGAAGCTGGCTTTAGTCCATGTCTTGAGAAGCACTTTTAGTCCCTTTCACCATATAGGAGCTGTCTCCCTGTTCACTTATGCTTTCTTTGGGACTTACAGCCTATGAAGTCTAGGGCTTAGCTTGAATCATAGCATTGTTTGTTTTCTTTTTTCCAGTCTATGAAAATGTTTATCTATTTTAACTGGACTTCTCTCTCTCCGTCTGTCTCTTCCCACTTAACCTATTACAAAACATATATGGAACAAAGGGTGTGTACAAAAGGGTAATTTACTGAGCTATCTGACTGAAAATCCACTTAAGCTTCTTTTTTTTTTTTTTTTTTTTGAGACAGGGTCTTGCTGTGTCGCCCAGGCTGGAGTGCAGTGACTCAATCCCAGCTCACTACAACCTCAGCCTCCCAGGTTCAAGCAATTCTTCTGCCTCAGCCTCCCAAGTAGCTGGGATTACAGGCGCGTGCCACCATGCCTGGCTAATTTTTGTGTTTTATAGTAGAGACGGGGGTCTCACCATGTTGGCCAGGCTGGTCTCGAACTCCTGACCTCAAGTGATCCACCCGCCTCGGCCTCCCAAAGTGCTGGGATTACAGGCGTGAACTGCCATACCTGGCATTACTTTCTTATTATCTCGCTTCTTCCACCTTCACTCAGACTTACTTTCTTCTCTTCCCCCCATTTAGAACTTTTGTTTCTTGAAGAGTCATCAGTGTTCAGCATCCTGTCAATTTAGTCATATAATTAAAGTATTCAAACTAAATTACAAATAAAGATTGTGAACCCAGTGAGTACTTAACCAGTTAATGTATAGGTTAGAGTTTGTGTGAGTGGTAATGTAAGGAGGCAGAGTTGACTTTGACTACATGTCTGTTCTTACAACCAGACAAAGGCCCAGGAATAGTCTGAAGAGCCTCTGAACTAAGGCCACTTGAAGTAAGGAGGCACAAGTAATTCTGCCATAACGAAACTCACCTGATCAGAAGAGGGGCATGAAGAAAGGGTTTTCTTTTTTTTTTTTTTTTTTTTTTTTTGAGACAGAGTCTCGCTTAGTCGCCCAGGCTGGAGTGCAGTGGCGCGATCTCGGCTCACTGCAAGCTCCGCCTCCCAGGTTCACGCCATTCTCCTGCCTCAACCTCCTGAGTAGCTGGGACTACAGGCGCCCGCCGCCTCGCCCGGCTAATTTTTTGCATTTTTAGTAGAGACGGGGTTTCACCGTGTTAGCCAGGATGGTCTCGATCTCCTGACCTCGTGATCCGCCCGCCTCGGCCTCCCAAAGTGCTGGGATTACAGGCGTGAGTCACCGCGCCCGGCCAAGAAAGGATTTTCTAAGGCAGGATCAAAATGTGCATATATGTCTGTTTGTGTATCTGTGTGTGGGTGCATACATTTGTGTGCTGTATGTAAGCTCCAACCCACAGGAATAAAAGCATAAGTATTAACTTAAAGGGCTTCCAGTTACCATCTGGAAATGTTTGGGAATTACTGATCAGGACCAGGATTATAAAAATTATATAATTGCTCAATGTCTATTATTTTTGTTTTCTGCAAAGGTTACTAGTGAATCTCTAAATTAAACCAAAAGGATCCAAGGGCTTATCTTTACACACGACAAGCGTGAAGCTGGACATTATAGCCCATTTCATTGCCAGCTTTGGGGAGAAAAATGGATCTCAACCAATAGAGTAGTAGTGGCAGCAACTAAGGGTATGAAAGACACAATGAGTATCAGGGACCTTGTGTGTGAAATCTAGTCTGAGTGTGAAAGGGATCTTTAGCCATCAAAAGACCTACATGATTGTCTGAAAATACCACCTCCTCCCTCCGTACTTAGCTTTACAGGATATATATAAAACATGGAAAATCTTTCAGCTTGTATAGATATAGATGTAGATGTATTATAGATATAGATAGGCCTATCTATCGATCTATCATCTATCTATCAATCTATTATCTATCTATCTATCCATCCATCTATCTATCTATCTATCTATACATCTGCTGAAGAAGCCCTTTAGTCCCATTTGGCTCAGTAAAACATAATCGATGCTTAAGGAATCAAAGAGGTCACAGGCCTGTCAAGAATTTGATGGAGTTTACTTGAAACTATCTTCCGGGGGCGGGGCAGGGGGAAGGAAGAATCTGATGGAATCTCTGGCCCTCTTCACAGAAGAATACATATACAAGTTTTGTATAGAATTTCAGGGAGTTTGTGGATGCCTGGTTAAGGTATCTCCCTGCCTAGGGAGAAGCAGTGGTTTTACATAACAGACTGTAAAGGTTTCAAATTACCAGTCCTCACAGTAAGTGGGACCTCATGGATTCCCTAGAATCTACCCAGCACCTCTCAGTTCCTTTGAGTAGTAGGTCTTATATCCATTGATATTTATTCAATTTCTGGTAACGCTATCAAGTTCAGATTCAACAGTATTTGTCCAAGTGCTTTCCATCCGGAGTATACCCAAAGCAACACATAATAAAGAAAATTCTAAATAGAAGTAATTAACGTTCTTCTCCATGGGCCTTTCTGGTCCATGAGATCCCTCATACCCAAAGAAGTCTCTGGTCTACACACTGCATCTTTCACTAGTTTCTTTCATTCATGACTCTAAACATTGTTGTTTTCTTTTAGAAATGTTTTTCTTAAGTGAGTTATTACTTACTTTATTACTATCATACCTATTTTGGATCCAATGCACGCAAAAGACATTTCATCAGCTTTAATGTTGTCTCCTCCAGTAATATGGACATGATATTAGGAGAGTTTCCAAGAATTTATGCGATCATTCCCAACTCAGCTTCTCCCCTGCTTTTAAGACAAGCTATAGTTAGGTTTTCCTATCACCATCACAGTCCTGCCTCTGGTAAATTTTTCTCTCTCACACTTAGAGATTCCATCTCAGACCTTGGCTCTTCTTCATCTTTAGCAGGTGATACTGTAGTCACTGGACCAACCCCCAGCCTTGATCTCTCTGTTGGAATCACAGTGACGTTTTCATCACGGGCAGGAGATCTGGAAGTTAAGTAGTTGAGAAGAGAGATGATGCCTAGGGGAAGGGAATAATTTGAGGTGAGGTTCAATAGGCAATGGTCTTTTGGCTTTTAAAATTCTTACTCCTCCTTTAATAACCAGTTCAAAAGACATCTTTTCAGTGAACCCCTCTCTCCCCCAGCGGACTTACTTTACCCTCTTGTGCTCTAATTGCATTATAATATTTCTCAGACTGGTTAGGACAAAGCTTGAACCTCCTAGATTCAAATCATAGTTCCACTATTTTCTGTGTGGCCTTGGGCAAGTTACTCAACTCGTCCATGCCTCACTTTGTGATAGAACAAGTTACTAATGCTAGGTTTTCAGACTCTAAAATCCACCCTTTCTTCATTATGCCACACTAACTCTCCAACTATCAATGTTCTGAAAAGAAACAGTCAGTGCTTCTACTTCTCCTAGATTATACCTCCCTTTCCAGAAGCAATTTCCCTATCCATCCTTCTAGCATAGAGCAGGGGAGTGACTCACCAGCAAACATGTAAAAGATGTCACTGCACCAGTTAAGATAATAGGTCCACAGGAGATCTGAATCCATGGCATCCCTAGTATGCCAGTGAACCTGTGCCACAAACAGGTTGAGGCAGAGGAGCAAGCAGGTAGCTAGGACCGGAAGAAAAAATGTCACAACCCATCAGCATCTTCAGTCTGCCTTCCCCGCCACCCCCAGCTCTTCAGCCTCCAGAGGCCATATGTATAGCAAGGATCAAAAAGATAAAAACTTGGGGATTGACCAAGATGAGAGAACAGGATCTATACCCTGGTAAAGTCAGCGAAGGTGTGTTCTATATAATTAGATAAGGCAGATAGCTGGCAAGTTGGTGTGATACTGAAGAAGAGCAAAGAGATAAGAAAAAGAGTATAAGAGTTTCACAGAGAAAATTTGTTACCTTGATTATTACCATGGTAAAATACCCTGCCGATCTAGGTCTGTACCTGAGATGAAGCTGAGCATGGATACCTTCAGATCCAAGTTGGTGGTCATGCTTCCTCGACTAGGGAGCCAAGAGCTGAAGAGCCAGCCAAGGCCAATGAGTATGGTAAAGACAGAGATGAGAAAGAAGGCCCTGGAATATTGGAGATAATCTGCATGAAGAAGAGGAAAGGAAGAGCGTGGTTAGTCCAGTGAGGGAACTTCCCTTAAAAAGGCCAGACAGAGTCTTAGAGAAGGATGTAAGAACAAAGGATGATGGAGCAGAGCTTGCTACATGACATCCTTTCTGCTTGGAATTTCTTTACTATGATTGTTAAACTAAAGATAATATACAAATACTTCTGCATGCATTGATTTAGATATAAACTAGCTTATAAGAGGTGTTACCAATGACAAAACAGATTAAACTTTTTTCTTGTTTCTAATTCTAATTCTAAAAATAATAAGTAATATGCATCCAACATAAGCATTCAAAAGACTACAAAAGAACAAAGAAGCAGAAAAAAAATCAGCCACAATTTCACTATCTAGAGGCAACCATTGTTAATATTTTATTTTATTTTTCTACCCTCTGTGCATAGTAGATATGATACTAGATATCATGTGGGTTTTTTCCTCAAGAATATATGATGTGATTTTCCCCAGGTATCTGTTGTAAATATTATTTTCAGTGGCTACAAAATATTCTGTCATATGAATATACTTTGCTTAATGATTTACCCATTGTTTAGTTCCATTTGTTTTTCACTTTCAGCTGTATCTGGCATGTACAGGCCTTGTCAGCCTACGACTACAAAATGAAGTCACATTTACTTTATTTATTTATTTATTTATTTTATTATTATTTTTTTGAGACAGAGTCTCACTCTGTCGCCCAGGTTGGAGTGCAGTGGTGCAATCTTGGTTCACTGCAGCATCTGCCTCCCGGGTTCAAGCAATTCTTCTGCCTCAGCTTCCCGAGTAGCTGAGATTACAGGTACACGCCACCATGCCCAGCTAATTTTTTATATTTTTTTAGTAAAGACAGGTTTTCACCATGTTGTCCAGGCTGGTCCTGAATGCCTGACCTCAGGTGATCTGCCTGCCTTGGCCTCTCAAAGTGCTGGGATTAAAGACTTGAGCCACTTCGCCCAGCCTCATTTACTTTAATTCCCATACTATGATGATTTCAAGCCCCAATTTACCAAACTGCAGGAACCTATCACAAAGTGTTTCCCCCACTTTTTTTTTTTTTTTTTTTTTTTTATTCTGAGAGTCTCCCAAAGTCCTATCTCATATTTGTTCAAGTTGTTCTTATCCAAGTGCCACACCTCTCCTTCTTCCATCTTTGGCTCTAGGTGTCTTCTCTTTGGCTCTGCCACTGCGGACCGGATGTTGGTAAGAGCAGCAGGGATACGCTCAACCTTACTTTTTGCTACCACATCCCTAAGATGCAACAGGTTCTTCGACTTCCCCATCCATATTTTACTGAAGATTTAGAAGGTAACTTATAATTACAAGTAGCTGTAGCTTTTCTGAGCTACCAGACACCCAGGAATATCTTCAGTATCCTTTATAAGGTGCCTCCTTATTTAGCTTCTTTTTCTGTCCCAATGTAGTAGGGACCAGCTCACCCCCACCCCAGTGGTTACAAAGTTCTCTAACCACTTATATGCCTAAGAATCCAAGTCCAGCTTCTGAGTAACTCAGAGAGCAGAAATTATGTATCAAGCTTTTCCAGTGTAATATCTGCCTCCTTGTTTCATTTTGTTCTCCAGAACCTGCCACTTACTAATATGATGAATTGCAGGAATTTCCATTCAAAGAAACCACACCCCTATCCACAGAGGTTAAGTTGCTCTGTAGCCGCAACAAGTGAGCCACATTAAAACATAGTAATTCACAAGCTGCACATTTTCTGAATACTGGGTTATTCAGAATTAGCAGTATATGTAGCCAGCCAGAACATAAGCCCAGACTGAGCTGTATGAAGCCCAGGGTAACAGGCATGCTTTGTGGTATTTAGTCCACAATCCTCTATGAGCTCTAGCAGCCCTTGTCTATAGCCCTGGACTATTGTCTTTATAGCCCTCTGACTATAGCTAACTGGACTAAGCATGGGAACCTGACCCATCCTGGGACAATTTTATTCTTATGCTTGGAAATTGGATTTCCTCTTTTGCTTGCTTGAACTGAGAAGATGTAAAGTTTGACCGGGGTATCACCTTTTAGGCACTTACACACTAATAAACAGGAAAAACTGAGCTGTAGAGATAAAACAAAGCATAAACAAAGATGAGTGACAAAGTGACTGTAGAAAATCTGAGTGCTTGGCTGGCTTGATTTTCTTTATCTGAGATCCCAGCATCCCCTGGAATTCCCTAAGGTCCAGCGAACTTCCTGCCGTGGGAGTCTATGTTATTCCTCTGAGCCACCTTTATCTTTTTCTTTTTTTTTTTATATGTACTATTTTCTTTTTTTTTAAATATGTACTATTTTCTTTTTTTTTTTTAATTTATTTATTATTATTATACTTTAAGTTCTAGGGTACATGTGCATAACGTGCAGGTTTGTTACATAGGTATACTTGTGCCATGTTGGTGTGCTGCACCCATCAACTCGTCAGCACCCATCAACTCGTCATTTACATCAGGTATAACTCCCAATGCAATCCCCTCCCCCCCCCCATGATAGGCCCTGGTGTGTGATGTTCCCCTTCCCGAGTCCAAGTGATCTCATTGTTCAGTTCCCACCTATGAGTGAGAACATGCGGTGTTTGGTTTTCTGTTCTTGTGATAGTTTGCTAAGAATGATGGTTTCCAGCTGCATCCATGTCCCTACAAAGGACACAAACTCATCCTTTTTTATGGCTGCATAGTATTCCATGGTGTATATGTGCCACATTTTCTTAATCCAGTCTGTCACTGATGGACATTTGGGTTGATTCCAAGTCTTTGCTATTGTGAATAGTGCTGCAATAAACATACATATGCATGTGTCTTTATAGCAGCATGATTCATAATCCTTTGAGTATATACCCAGTAATGGGATGGCTGGGTCATATGGTACATCTAGTTCTAGATCCTTGAGGAATCGCCATACTGTTTTCCATAATGGTTGAACTAGTTTACAATCCCACCAACAGTGTAAAAGTGTTCCTATTTCTCCACATCCTCTCCAGCACCTGTTGTTTCCTGACTTTTTAATGATTGCCATTCTAACTGGTGTGAGATGGTATCTCATTGTGGTTTTGATTTGCATTTCTCTGATGGCCAGTGATGATGAGCATTTTTTCATGTGTCTGTTGGCTGTATGAATGTCTTCTTTTGAGAAATGTCTGTTCATATCCTTTGCCCACTTTTTGATGGGGTTGTTTGTTTTTTTCTTGTAAATTTGTGAGTAGATTGCAAAAATTTTCTCCCATTCTGTAGGTTGCCTGTTCACTCTGATGGTAGTTTCTTTTGCTGTGCAGAAGCTCTTTAGTTTAATTCCTTTATCTTTTTCTTTGAGATGGGGTCTCAGTCTATAACCCAGGCTGGAGTGCAGTAGCATGATCTCTACTCACTGCAGCCTCCAACTCCCAGACTCAAGCAATCCTCCCACCTCAGCCTCCTGAATAGCTGGGACCACAGATGCACACCATCACATCTAGCTAATTTTTTGTATTTTTGGTGGAAGTGGGGTTTCACCATGCTGCCCGGGCTGGTCTCGAACTCCTAAGCTCAAGTGATCTGCCCATCTCAGCCTCTCAAAGTGCCGAGATTACAGGCTTGAGCCACCACACCTGGCCGACTCTTCTGAATCTTTACAAATAAGTTCACTATTTAGCTTACACTAATTCAAATGATTTTAATATTCAGAACACCAAGGAGCACTGTCGAGGATATTTCCTGTCCAACTCCAGCCTAACATATAAAGTCCAGTTCCTCTTCTACCATGAGGAGAAGACTGCAACTTTATGTATTTCTTACAAATCTCTCTGTGTTATCTTCTTATCTCCTGAAAACTACCTAAAGAAGATCCTCACAACTCCAAAGGAACAATTTAAAGATTTACAGCATAGAAGAGTCTAACCTTCCCAAAGTAACTAAGTCTATTAGGAATAATCATATACAACAAATTATATAAACAAACTAAACACTTAGATTCAGAGTCTAAGACATCTGCATTTGGTTAACTTTATAGTTTTTTTATGCATATTACTATAAATAAATAAATGTCCAAAAGCTGATTTCAAGCCTCCATCTCCTGTAACACCAAAGCTGATTTCAGCTTTTAAACAACAGTTTTTACAACAGCTTACTTATCAAAGTTTCAAAAATCTTAGGATCTTAATTACAAAAGGCCCTGCTTGTATGTTTCAGTAAGAAGCCTTGGTCCAGAAAAAGGGGTGCCTGAGATAAAATGAACACCCCTGTGTCACCTGTCTGGGTCAACTGTATCCAAACATTTCTGAAGTTTTCCTTACTGATATACTTTGATGCGGTTAAACTTAAGTTACAAGAACACCAAGGCACCTCTCCCAGCTTACTGAAGCTAATACCTTGGGAAGAGAAAGGATGTCACTTTCAATTTGAGGAGGAAGTACAAATCATCTGAAAAACTTGGTAAGATTTTTGTAGATGTTCTCAGGATCAGCCCAGCATCAGTCAGCAATGCTACACTTCAGAGTACCATCAGGTAAGATGTAAAACCCCTACCAAGATTGGAGGGGGCACCACCCAACCAGAAAGCAGTAGTGTTCTGTGGCATCCCCTCAGATCTCAGTGAAATGAGAACATTCACCATTTGGCAGTTTGTAAATAATGGGTGGGATCTCCTTCTACTGTTGTGGAAGTAAAACTTGGCCAGGGAGCTTTTGGAAAGTGGTGCTGCTGGATACAAGCTGGGGAATCAGCTCACTTATTTAGCCAAATCTGAACTTCCACGCTGCTGCCACTGTGACCGCTTTCAAGGCACAGAAGGCAATACACAACTTCTCCAGGCTCAGATGAGGTGCCCCAAGTGGGTGGTTTTGGAATGGAAACGATCCTGGGTGGAGACTTAGGACCCTGAAGAGGCATCTATGAAATCTGCTTAGTATTTAGGTCCCCTTGTAACCCAGCTGGAGTGCCAGAATAAAGCATCCCTACACAGCCTGGCAACGTGTACTGTATGGTGGTTCCTAGGTTCCTAACTCTAGGGTGCCCAGTTACTTGACAAAAAGGCTTATCCTTTCTTTCCCACGCTCTGCAAAACAGTTCAAACTACTCTCTGTGCAATATATCCTTTACATTTCAGCCTGATCTCACCAGTGCTAGCGGAAAATAACAGAAGGGTCTGTTCTACACTTGAGACTTGCAGTAAAAGTGAAGGATACTGTCCTTTCCTCCCCATCCCTTCTTCATCCCATTAGCAATAGCCACAACAGAGAGGCTATCAGTCATCTAGATCCGGGTGAAGTCAGAGACAGAAAGAAGTATAACACAATGAAGTGAGCCCAGGGAATAGGAATATGAGCATGCACATTCTTTTTTTTTTTTTTTTTTTTTTTTTTTTTTTTTTTTTTTTTGAGACAGAGTCTCGCTCTGTCGCCCAGGCTGGAGTGCAGTGGCCAGATCTCAGCTCATTGCAAGCTCCTCCTCCCGGGTTTACGCCATTCTCCTGCCTCAGTCTCCTGAGTAGCTGGGACTACAGGCGCCTGCCACCACGCCCGGCTAGTTTTTTGTATTTTTAGTAGAGACGGGGTTTCACCGTGTCAGCCAGGATGGTCTCGATCTCCTGACCTCGTGATCCGCCCGTCTCGGCCTCCCAAAGTGCTGGGATTACAGGCTTGAGCCACCGCGCCCGGCGCATGCACATTCTTAAACACACCTGAGATAGCCCCTGTGAAACTTACGAAAATGACTAAAGAAACTGTCAGGGAGGGGAATGAAATTCTTGCAATCCAGTAGGTAAAAGTTTGAAGTCATTGAATTGGAAAGTAATTATTAAACAATAATGTATTCAGAGGCCAGGTGCAGTGACTCATGCCTGTAATCCAAGCACTTTGGGAGGCCGAGGCAAGCAGATCACCTGAGGTCAGGAGTTCAAGACCAGCCTAGTAGGCCAGGTGAGGTGGCTCACGCCTGTGATCCCAGCACTTGAGGAGGCTGAGGGGGGCAGATCACGAGGTCAGGAGATCAAGACCATCCTGGCTACCATGGTGAAACCCTGTCTCTACTAAAAATACAAAAAAATAAGCTGAGTGTGGTGGCAGGCGCCTGTAGTCCCAGCTACTCAGGAGGTTGAGGCAGGAGAATGGCGTGAACCTGGGAGGCAGAGCTTGCAGTGAGCCAAGATCACGCCACTGCACTCCAGCCTGGGCAACAGAGCAAGACTCCATCTCAAAAAAAAAAAAAAGATCAGCCTAGCTAACATGGTGAAACCCCATCTCTACTAAAAACACAAAAATTAGCTGGGCGCACTGATGCACACCTGTAATCCCAGCTACTTGGGAGGCTGAGGCAGGAGAATCGCTTGAACCCGGGAGGCAGAGATTGCAGTGAGCCAAGATCACGCCACTGCACTCCAGCCTGGGTGACAGAATGAGATTCTATCTCAAAAATAAATAAATAAATAAATAATAATGTATTCGGGCAATAATAACATTATATTGTTGTCACAGGGAGATAAGGCCTGGAAATTTTGATTACATTTTGGGGAATTTCTTATGAGATCTGTATTGCAGCCTAATTACTGACTCTTGAATTAGAACTAGTTATAATAACATGGAAAATAGGGTGGATACTTGATTTATACTTGTGTACCTTAAGGATTCAGTTGACTTTAAATAATCACAGTCTGTAGAGATAAAACAAAGCATAAAAAAAGATGAGTGACAAAGTGACTCTATAAAATCTGAGTGATTGGCTGGCTTGATTTCCTTGATTTTCTTTATCTGCATAAAGGTGAATCTAGGGCTTCAAGAAATAAACTATTCACTGCTTAAGTGACATAATTTTGGGATTCTAATGCATTAATTTTGTTTGTTTGTTTGTTTGAGACAGGGTCTCACTCTGTCATCCAGGCTGGAGTACAGTAGCTCAATCTCAGCTCACGACAACCTCTGCCTCCCAGGCTCAAGCAATTCTCCCACTTCGGCCTCCCAAGTAGCTGGGATTGCAGGTGCCCACTACCATGCCCAGCTAATTTTTGTATTTTTTGTAGAGACAGGGTTTCGCCTTGTTGCTCAGGCTGGTCTCAAACTCCTAAACTCAAGCGATCCCCCACCTCAGCCTTCCAAAGTGCTGATGTCAGAGGTGTTTGAACCGGAGCAACTTTATCTTGAATAGGGGCTGGTTAAAGTAAGGCTGAAACCTACTGGGCTGCATTCCCAGGAGGTTAAGGCATTCTTAGTCACTGAATGATAGGAGGTCAGCGCAAAATACAGGTCATAAAGACCTTGCTGATAAAACAGGCTGTGGTAAAGAAGCCAGCCAAAACCCACTAAAACCAAGATGGCAACAAAAGTGACCTCTGATCGTCCTCACTGCTTATTATATGTGAATTATAATGCATTAGCATACTAAAAGACACTCCCACCAGTGCCATGACAGTTTACAAATGCCATGGCAATGTCAGGAATTTACGCTATACGGTCTAAAAAGAGGAGGAACCCTTAGTTCCAGGAATTGCCCACCTCTTTCCCCGAAAACTTATGAATATAACTCACCCCTTTTTTAGCATATAATAAAGAAATAGCCATAAAAATGGGCAACCAGCAGCCCTGGTGGCTCCTTTTCCTATGGAGTAGCCATTCTTTTATTTTTTTACTTTCTTAAATTTGCTTTCACTTTACTCTATGGACTTATCTCGAATTCTTTCTTGCCCAAGATCCAAGAACCCTCTCCTGGGGTCTGGATCAGGACCCCTTTCTGGTAACACTGGGATTACAGGCTTGAGCCACCACACCCAGCCCTAATTTATTAAAGATTTAAATAATAATCTTAAGGCCGAAATTTTAACATGGGCACCCAGTTACATAAATATAACTGCAGTTTTATCTTTTTGCCTAAATCTTTTAATCCATTTCTAGTTATTTCCTTGGAATTAATTTCTAGAAATGGAATTATTTACTCAAAGGAGATGAACCTTTTTAAGTCTCTGGATGCACCTAATCATATTGCTTTGATTATACCAATTTGCATGGTATGTACAGGAATGCGTATGGGAGTGTATAGCAGTTGCATCATCATTTAAAAATCTGTTAATATGGTGGTTGAAAAGTTACATCTTGTTATTCATTTACCTTTCTTTAATGATTGATTGAGGTTAAATTATTTTTCCTATGTTTATTAGATAGTTATAGTTCTTCTTCTGTGCATGTCGATTGAAAAAGAACTTATTTGAGTTTGTGTCTTTAATACTTTGTGTATCCTTTTACTATACTAAGGCCATTAACCTTTATCTTTCATAATTGTTGCAAATATTTTCTCTAGTTTTCATTTTATGCAGTTGAATTGTCTGCCTGCCTTTGATTTTAGTTTCTTCTCAAGATCATGCAGGAAACTGTCCCTTAATTTCAAATGTCGCAGCCCATGGCCAAATAACTGATGCTCTACCTCAGAGTTGGGCACAGGTGCTCCCCTCCTGCTTATGTGAGGAGAATAGATGGGATCCCTGCTTATGTGAGAATAGATGCTTTACTCACACATGTTTTCTTTCACAATACCCTTTTCATTGTGTAAATTTATGTCTTGTGGGTGATGGGAAAACTGTCAGTGTAATGATATCTTTCCTCTAAGTTTTTGGTTTGATTGAAAAACTCATGCATATGATATTTTTAGCCCCCAAAACTTGTATTAAAATATTTTGTGTTGCGCTTTCAGATTTATTTAAATTCACATAAAATTTGACATAAATAATATTATCTTCAGAGCTGGCATTTGTTATACCACATATCTAACGTACATTTAAATTCTATTCCACTGCTAGGAGAAGAACAAGCTGACCTTGAAAGTTAAATCTAATAGAGGTTAAGATATTTGCTTTATCTTCCAGCTATGATCAATCACTTCTCTTCTAATTCTGCAAGCCACATTAGAATACCAATCACATTGCTTAGCAGTAACACCTTGTAAATGAGTTATTCCTAGGGCAGGTATGGTAGCTCACACCTATAGTCCCAGTACTTTGGGAGGAACACTTGAGGCCAGGACTTTGAGACCAGCCCGGGCAATATAATGAGAACTTTCTCTCCAAAAAAAAAAAAAAATTAAAAATTAGCCAGGAGTGGTGGCACATGTCTGTAGTTTCACCTACTCAGGAGGTTGAGCGGGAAGATTGCTTAAGCCCTGGAGGTGGAGGCTGTAGTGAGCAATGATAGTGCTATTGCACTTCGGCTAGGTGATAGAGCAAGAGCCTGTCTCTAAAAACAAACAAACAAAACAAAACAAAACAAAACAGTTCTTCCCATCAAGTAAAAACAGTATAACCCATTATTTAGGACAGAAAACGACCTGGAATAGAAGGGAGAAAGGGCACACTGAGGATACCAAAGAAAGATCCATCCTGCACTTGGAGAGGTGAAAGCCAAAAGATCTTGGAGGAAGAAAGATGAAGGGCCAATCTGTATGAGCAGAAATCTCTGCAATTGTGTGGGGCCTGTGGCATTTAATTCAGTGGCACTCACAGGGTGGCTTGGGTGTGTGGTTCCAGCACAGCTCATGGTTGCATAAGGTCCAGAGTCCTGCGTAGAGCTCAAGGCCATTCTTGATCACCAGGAACTGTACCCAGTTCAGTGGGGACATGGCGATCAGCATTAGGAGGCTAAAACTACAGAGGCTGCCACAGAATATTCGGATGTAGATGTGTGCCTGATCCATAAGCTGCTGCTGCCTTTGGGATGACATCGAGGCACTTGGATGTTTCTTGGCAGGGAGGGTAGGCTACAAGGATGAGGGAAATATTGCCTACCCGAAAGGATAACCCCTGATCCCCAGGGTCACCTGCTTTTCTCTACCTCAAGCATTCCCATGTGTCTTTGATTTAAGGATATCTTGCCCTACTCCTAAAAAAAAAAAAAACAAACCCACAATTTTCAGGGTGATCTTTTCTGTCTTTAGGATGCTCTATGTAGCCCCGCCTTTAAGTAAGTCCTCTTTTTCCCATCTGACTTCCAATTAGATACCTCCTCACCCTTTGGTATTTCCGGTTCCCCTTTATCTTGGGAACCTCAGGACTGTGGAAAGTCAAGGTTAAATGTTCCCTTCGCTCCATCTTGGCAGTCGGTTCTCTTTCTAACTGCCACGGAATTTGTCTCTGCATCTCCTCACACATGCTGGCAGAAGCAAAAAAGGGCCAGGACCCATGGCACAGATCCTGTTTCTGTTTTATTTATATTTTTGGTCTGGTCAGCTCAGGAAGAAATCATCATATTTTAAGCATGTGCATGTATGTGTGATGCTCCCCACCCTCCATTCTCCACCTACTCCCAACTCTTTTATTAAATAAATCCACAAAGATTTTGTTAGCAGTGGCTGTGTGTCAGGCTTTGTGCTAGCTTCTGGGACACAAAAATAAGTAAGACACAGTTCCCTCACAGCGTATAAAAAAAGGGGAACTCATATGCTTGTTGGCCACATGTATTTCTTCTTTTGAGGAAGTGTCTGTTCATGTCCTTTGCCCACTTTTTAATGGGGTTATTTGTCTTTTTCTTGTACATTTATTTAAGTTCCTTACAGATGCTGGATATTAGACCTTTGTCAGATGCATAGTTTGCAAAACAATTTTCCCTTTCTGTAGGTTTTCTGTTTACGCTATTGATAGTTTCTTTTGCTATGCATAAGCTCTTTAGTTTAATTAGATCCCATTTGTCAATTTTTGCTTTTGTTGCAACTGCTTTTGGCATCTTCATAATGAAATCTTTGCTGGTTCCTATGTTCAGATCATTAGAGAAATTAAAACCACAATGAGATACCATCTCACACCAGTCAGAATGGCTATTACAAAAAGTCAAAATAATAACAGATTGTGGCGAGGTTGTGGAGAAAAAGGAACACATACACTGTTGATGGGAGGGTAAATTATTAATTCAAACATTGTGGAAAGCAGTGTGATGATTCCTCAAAGATGTAAAGACAGAAAGAACTACCATTTGACCCAGAAATTCCATTTTTGGGTATATGCCCAAAGGGACAGAAATCATTCTATTATAGAGACACATGCACATGTATGTTCACTGAAGCACTATTTGCAATAGCAAAGACATAGAATCAACATAAATGCCCATCAATCGTAGACTGGATAAAGAAAATGTGGTACACATCCACCATGGAATACTATGCAGCTATAAAAAAGAACAAGATCATGTGCTTTGCAAGAAGATGGATGGAGCTGGAGGCCATTATCCTTAGCAAACTAATGCAGCAACAGAAAACCAAATACTGCATGTTCCTGCTTATAAGTGGGAACATGGACACATAGAGGGGAACAACAGACATTGGGGCCTATTGGAGGGTGGGGGGTGGGAGGAGAGAGAGAGTCAGGACAAATAACTATTGAGTACTAGGCTTAATACCTGGGTGATGAAATAATCTGTACAACAAACCCCCATGACATGGGTTTATCTATATAACAAATCTGCACATGTACCCCTGAACTTAAAATAAAAATTTTAAAAGCGGGCAACTCAGATGTCTCCAGAACTCTATTGGTTGTGGCTATAATTTAAAATTATATCCCTATCAGTAGCCAGTAGCCTGGAGTTCATGCCAGGGTTGTCTCAATAGGCTCATGAACCAGTGTGTCAGTCATGGTCCTTCATACAGCGTCCATCTTTTTCTTCCTTTTTTGCTCTGGTTCCCTCTTTTCAATGTCCTCTACTCATGAAGCCATTTAAGGGCGCTGCTATACCACTGCCACTGCTGATAGGGCCCACTATGAATATGCCAGTATCTATAGCCCAGAACACTATAAGCCAATGTGCTAAAAGCCACTGGTCTTCAAGATACCCTAGCAGTGCTGGGTTCAAAATGTTCCATACGGCCCCCAAAGGACATGTATCAGCGTGCTCACAGCAGCACTCCATAATAGCCCTAAGTTCAAAACTACCCAAATGCCCATCAACAGAAGAATGGCAGATTGCTGTCTATTTATACAATGAAATACTATACAGCAATACGAGTAATCTACAACCACCTGAGCAAAGAGGGATGAATATTATCTACATAATGCTGAGCAAAAGAATCCAAACACAAAAGAGTACATACGTATGATTCTATTCATATGAAGTGCAAAACAGGCAAAACTAATCTGTGTTGTTAGAAGTCAGAAACACTCTGGGGAGGAAGATGGCTAGGTATTGGAAGGAGACATGCGAAGGGCTCTTGGGGTGCTGTAAAGGTTCTTTCTTGATCTGTGCACTGATGACCAGCTTTCTGTATGCACAGTTTTTCTATACGCATGGTTTTTGTTTTGTTTTTCTTTTTTGAGGCAGAGTCTTGCTCTGTCACCTAGGCTGGAGAGTTGTGGTGTGATCTCGGCTCACTGCAACCTCTGCCTCCCAGGTTGAAGCAATTCTCCTGCCTCAGCCTCCCAAGTAGCTGGAACTACAAGTGCCCGCCACCATGCCCGGCTAATTTTTGTATTTTTAGTAGAGATGAGAGTTCACTCTGTTGGCCAGGCTGGGCTTGAACTCCTGACCTCAAGTGATCTGCCTGCCTCAGCCTCCGAAAGTATCTATATGCATGTTACACTTCAACTAAAAGTTAAAAGAGGCCGGGTGTGGTGGCTCATGCCTGTAATCCCAGCACTCTGGGAGGCCAAGGCAGGCAGATCACTTGAGGTCAGGAATTTGAGACCGGCCTGATCAACATGGCAAAACCCCGTCTCTACTAAAAATACAAAAATTAGCTGGGCGTAGTGGCAGGTGCCTGTAATTCCAGCTACTTGGGAGGCTGAGGCAGGAGAATTGCTGGATCCGGAGGTTGCAGTGAGGCGGAGGTTGCAGTGAGCTGAGATCACGCCATTGCACTCCAGTCTGGGCAACAAAAGCGAAACTCTGTCTCAAAAAAAAAAAAAAAAAAAAAAAAAAGAATAATTTGAGTATATGAATCAAGAAGCTTAAACATGGTTGTATATTTTGTCTCAGTAATTTCATCCCTAAAATCTATAAAATCAATAACTAAGCTTATTACAGCTTATTTCTATAACCTCCCATCTACCAGGAACTGTGCTAGGTGCTTTATATACATTAACCTACTTGCTTTCTGAATCACATTTTTTCACTTTATTTTCTGATTTGTTATTGCTAATGAATAAATTATTTTTTCAATGTATTTACCTTTTACCTGGTCATTTGACTGAATTATTTAAATTCTAATCATTCTGTTGGCCAATTTCTCTTAGATTTTCTAGGTAAACATCCTATCATCTCCAAATGATGATCATTCTGTTTCTCTCTTTACAAAATATGTCATATTGCACTGGCCTGGCACGGTGGCTCACGCCTGTAATCCAACACTTTGGGAGGCCGAGGCAGGTGGATCACTTGAGGTCAGGCATTCGAGACCAGCCTGGCCAACATGGTGAAACCCCATCTCTACTAAAAATACAAAAAAATTAGCTGGGTGTGGTGGCACGCACCTGCAATCCCAGCTACTCGGGAGGCCAAAGCAGGAGAAATGCTTGAACCCGGGAGGCAGAGGTTGTAGTGAGCCAAGAGTACACCACTGCACTCTAGCCCAGGCAACAAAGAGAGACTCCATCTCAAAAAAAAAAGTCATATTGCATTGATTAGACCCTTTAGAATAGTCTTCATGAAGTATTAAGAGTGATGGGCATCATTATCTTACTCTTGACTTTAATGGAACTGGCTTTACTGGTCTTTGTTTATTTGTATATTCATTTTTGTGTTAAAGAAGTTCCGTTCCATTTCTATTTTATCAAGATTTTAAAATTAGAATGGCTGTATCAAATTCCCTCTTAGCCTCTAGAATATGGCTTTTCTTCTTTAATCTATTTAGTGTAAAAATTACATTGATACATTTCTTAACATTTATCTAATTTTGCATTCCTGTAATAAAGTATTTATGAACATAGTACATTATTCTTTAATATAGTGCTAGGAGTATTTGTTTATATACTCAAACCAAGAATTATCTAGAATTTTAAAAATCTATCCACATGTTTAGATTTTTTTTTTTTTTTTTTTTAGTTTTAATATATTATGGTCAAACAACATGTCCTACAAGAACTCTTTTCCTTTTGGAATTTAGTAACATTTGTCACTTAGCCAGTTTTCCTAAATGTCCTTTAGGCATTTAAAAACAATGCGTAAAGTACAAAGTTTTAAATATATTTGTGTAGAATGTAAGATTCTAAATCTATCACATTAAAATTATCAATAATAATATGTGGGTTGTTTCTATTCTTGTTAGTTTTTTCTCCACTTGATAAAATAAAAAATAGGCTGGGCACCGTGGCTCACGCCTATAATTCCAGCACTTTGGGAGGCTGGAGGGGGGCAAGAATTCTGGGCTTAAGCCCAGAATTTCGAGACCAGCCTGGGCAACATGGTGAAACCCCATCTCTACAAAAAGCACAAAAATTAGTCAGGTGTGGTGGCGCATGTCTGAGGTCCTAGCTTCTCGGGGGACTGAGGTGGGAAGATTGCTTGGGCCAGGGAGGTTGAGGATTCAGTAAGCCATTGTTTATGCCACTACACTCCAGCCTGGGTGACAGAGTGAGATCCTGTCTCAAAGAGATAAATAATAAAAATGGAATAAAAATAGACTATTAGCTCTTTATAGGTGCACATGAAAAGATGCCCCTAATATATTATCAATTGAAAAATTTATAAAATAGTGGTTACATCATGCCCTGATTTTTTTGTTTTGAAGGATTATAAACGTGTGTATACAGAAAATAGTCGGGCTGGGCTGGGCGCGGTGGCTCATGTTTGTAATCCCAGCAATTTGGGAGGCCGAGGTGGGCGGATCACCTAAGGTCGGGAGTTTGAGACCAGCCTGACCAACATGGAGAAACCCTCTCTCTACTAAAAATACAAAATTAGCTGGACATGGTGGTGCATGCCTGTAATTCCAGCTACTCAGGAGGCTGAAGCAGGAGAATCACTTGAACCCGGGAGGTGGAGTTTGCAGTGAGCCAAGATTGCGCCATTGCACTCCAGCCTGGGCAACAAGAGGGAAACTCTGTCTCAAAACACACACATACACACACACACACACACACACACACACACACAAAGAGAGAGAGAAAATAGGCTGGGCGCCATGGCTCATGTTTATAAGCCAAACACTTTGTGGGGCCAAGGCAAGCAGATCTCTTGAACACAGAAATTCAAGACCAGCCTGTGCAACATAGCAAAATCTTGTCTCTGCTAAAAATACAAAAATTAGCCAGGTACAGTCTCAGCTACTTGGGAGGCTGAGGTGGGAGGATCACTTGAGCCTGGGATGTCGAGGCTGCAGTGAGCAGTGATTGCGCCCCTGCACTCCAGCCTGGGCGACAGAGCAAGACCCTGTCTCAAATAAAAAGAAAGAAAAGAAGAAAGAAAAGAAAATGATGGTCAT